AAAATAAACATGCCATGTTGGTGTGGCTTTTCTTTTCGGCTGATCGATTACTGTGTACACCTCAAGGAAAGTCTCCTACGGTTTTCTAGTTCCAAATGCAATCGGACACGTCCAACACGACCGACCGTATTTATCAGACAGGTAGCTGGTTCTATTGGACAGTGTCGTTACAGGGGGAAAACGAAAAAAAAGGGGGGGGGAGGGGGTTAGAAATTGTTGTTTGTACAGGTGTTTGTCTTGGACGGTTGATTATTAGGGCCAAATAAATGCTCATGAAAAATACTTCGTCTATCCAACATGTTTGTTTGGTTTATGAATTGTTGAAAAGAGTGACTACATGTATTTAAATTTGTTTGAACCACAATAAACAGACTGTAAAACAATACACGATTTTTTTAGTCTTACTACAGAGTGAGTGGGTGGCAGGCGTGTGCTCTGGTATTGTTTGCTTTCCTTCTTATCAAACATAAATCGTCCTTATCTCCCTTCCTTCTTTTCTTTGTCTTTTTCACTCTATTACTAAATATAATACCTTATCTTCGGCACGATAACATGTACATTACCAATTTGTGTTACGGGTGCTGTAAAGCTCTAAACTAAAGCTATAAAGGACAGTATTTCGATTTTTTATTTTTGCTATGGGGAACAGACGAGACACGGTCATGTATGACTGCTAAAAAGGGTACAAACATGAGATGGGATTACACTACAATTTAAGGTCATTGGGTTTTGTTTTCCTTTTTTTCAATGCAAGTATTTTACGCCCCTATCGACACGATTAGATCATTTAGAAGACAGGCCTCAACCCTGCCTACCAGTGCCAATCAGACCTGAGAGTTTACAACATCCCTAAAAGAAAGACCGAGATACTTGATGACAGTTTATTTTCTCTTTTCTTTTCTATAATACTTTCATTTCTAGAATCAGACAATGACTGCATTTTCAAATAAATAGTGATATGGGTATGGATTGATTAACAGTAGGCCTAAGCATGATGGCTGGAGCGATGAATGGTGTTTAAATTTGTAGCCCAAATTAGTTGTGTGGATTGGGGGGGGGGGGGGTGAACGCTCTACAATAACTATATTTTCATTACAACATCGTAGTTTGTTTCCACGATAAACTGAGGTTTGTGTGTCCCACTGTAGCATGTATAGGGTAGGCCTTATGAAGTAAGTGTATGTTTTGTGGCGCATTAGCTAAATTGCAGTTTAGATCATTTCGGAAGTATGATGCTTTCATCCAGCCAGTATAAAGGCAACCTGGTATAATTGAGGTAATAATAATAAGATGAATTATCATATTAATATTAGTAATAATAGTAATAGTAGGTCAACAATAACAACAATTAAAACAACAACAACAACAACAACAACAACAACAACAACAACAACAAGAAGAAAAACAGGAAAAGCAATAACAACGACAACAACAACAACAACAATAATAACAATAATAACAATAATAATAATAATAATAATAATAATAACAATAATAACAATGAAAACAATAATAATAATAATAATAATAATGATAATAATAATATTTCTAACAATATTATATTAATTATAATAGAAACGGTAGCAACAGTCATAATGATAACAACGGTATTAACAATTTAAAATAATGATAAAATGACAATAGTTATTATGAAGATGAACGTGATGATGAAAATAATCAAGCGCTTTACAACTGTTACTATTAGATAATAGTACGTTCACATGCTGGAATCAGACTCCCGACTTTAGCGAGTTACATCCAAAAGCCTGATCAATTCACTGTAGGTACCAGTGTCTTTTTTTTTGGGGGGGGGGGTGTTTTTGTTACTTGGTAAGTGTTTTACGGCGCTCGCAACTGCATAAAGTCATAAAAGCGCGCTGGACACATTAAACTTTTTCAGTTGGTAAGAAATTTTGAATTTTGCCCGGGTGGCGGCCGAAGCCTACTCTTATCGATTTTAGACCGCCAAGGGATCTTTAACGTGCGCAACTTGCACACGGGCACTTCGAGATCTTTCGCCCTTGTCAGAGAATGCTAGGTGTAGATGTTTCCTACCAGAAGATCAGAGGTGTGGCTGAAAGACAGCAGTTAGAAGAGGCCAAGGAGTAGCAGTAGAAAGGCTGCAGAAAGAGAGCCCAGAGGAGGGGGCAAAGGAGGTGAGGGGGTGGAGGCAGAGAGGAGACGAAAGCAGACGACAGAACATTGCAAGAGAGCAGGAAAGGAGGTGAAAGGAGACAATTTTAGAGAAGAAAATGTTTCGGTCGCTATGCGGATTCGAACCCGGGACTTTTGAATGAGAGGCCAACACCTTAACCTCTAGGCCCCGAGAGCCCCCTACCAGTGTCTGTCCTGTGTGTTAAACTGCGGCAAATAATGTCAAAGTTCGGCGTGTGAGAGGCTGAGACCTTAGAAGAATGTTCCAGTAGTGTCAGCGTGGGTGGTTGGCGGGTCCTCTGGCGTTGTTTGCTCCTTCTTTCCTATCAAACATCTTTCGTTCTGATCTCTCCTCCTTTTTTATGTTTGTTACTCTCTTGTAACACCTCTAATCTTCTGGCGCTCATATGAGCTTATACTCTTGCGAGCGCCGTAAAACCTCTACTAAAACAACACAGTGTCAGCGTCACTCCATAATCGCCTAAGTCAACTCCTAGAGGTTCCACATTTAGCCGTGGTTTGAAGAAAAAGACACCAAGGGGTATTTTACAACATAATTCATGCTCGAACGGGTCAAAATCTAAAAAATGGAGGCGAACGAAGGACGTTGAATGTTGAAATGAGATAATGGTTCTATAAATAATCTCACAGCTGCTGCCAATTTTACTGTCTCTGGGTTCACCCAATGGTCAGTCTTGGGCTACACACCAGCAGGTCAAACGTTCGAAAGGGTTTTGAGGTCCAAATTCCTTTATCTTTTCACCCAAGCTCACAACAAACCACAAACACCGTCAAAATAAAAATAAAATAATATATTTATAGTCGATTATAGTTGCTTTTTTAAAATCTTAAATGAAGCAGAAGTTATCAAACATGAAAAAGACCCCCCAAAAAAAACCAAACATTTAATTAACAGTCACTTTTTTTTGGCTTTCGAACCTCGTAGCTCAAAACAGGGAATCCCAAAATAGCACACTAGTCTGCGTCTGACGACTGACATTGACCGAGGCAGACACATCTATCTTCCTCCTGTCATTTTTCCTTTCTAGTCTAGATTAGATCTAGATTTTAATAGAAAAATAATGAGTTGCCAATATTTGGGTGCGCTATTTTTTCACTTTTAAATGTCGTCAAAACTTTAAAAGAATAAGAAGTGGTTTATATAGGCGCTTAAAGTATGGAATGACGCTGGCAATCTGAGGTACTGTGCCGGGTGAACAGGGAAGCTGAGAAGACAGTCATTACTAGATTCTAGATCTAGACAATTAATTGTTTAGTGGCATTTTGTAGTTTAAAAGACAGACGTTATATCTATGAAACTTGCCTTATCTGGTTTGACGATAAGAAACCACAGGGCGAAATAGACACAATGTATGATGAGCGTACGTGCTTCTCTAAATCCAAGACAGAGTGACTAAACTGCACTGCCGACTGCCGACACAAACAGATGTTCTTTGTGCAGGCGGCAGGCAGTTGTCCTACACAGAACAAGGAACAGACAGAAAGTGCAATGAGGTTTGTGAGGAGGGTAACAAGCGAAGCCATAAGAAGGTGTTACTAACTATAATCATTAATTAATTTGGTAAATTAGTGCACAACTTTAGAAAAGTGAATAGCTCTGTTTTTGGCAAGTTGTGGCACTGGGATCATTTCAAGTTGCGTTTGCTGTTATTTCCTTTACTTTTATCTCTTTGCCAAGGTAGGTATACGCCCTGAGTAGCTATCAAGTTCTGTTATACCTTTTCTTCCTCCTTGGATATTAAGGGTCATCATCAGTTTATGATGGACTAACTAGTAATAGTAGTAGTAGTAGTAGTAGTAGTAGTAGTAGCAGTAGTAGTAGTAGTAGTAGTAGTAGTAGTAGTAGTAGTAGTAGTAGTAGTAG